TTCCTAAGTAAGAATCCTGTCCTCCATAGTCGTGTGAAGCATGTTGCCGTGGACTTTCACTTTGTTCACCATCATGTCGACACCAAACGGGTTCGTGTTGTTCATGTTGATAGTGCTCATCAAATAGCCGACACTCTCACCAAGGCAACTGCTTAAACCTGCATTTGATATTAATATTTCCAAGTTAGACTTAGTGACCCATCAACTAAATTGAGGGGGCGTAATAGAACATCACGAGTCAGTTTAGTTATTTAGTCGTATTAAGTTTGAGCAGTTCCTATCCCTGTCTATTTAGGATTAGGTTTCAGCATATATTGTCTAGTTAGGAGTTTTATTTCTTCAGTTCGATTTCCAAGTTAGACTTAGTGACCCATCAACTAAATTGAGGGGGCGTAATAGAACATCACGAGTCAGTTTAGTTATTTAGTCGTATTAAGTTTGAGCCGTTCCTATCCCTGTCTATTTAGGATTAGGTTTCAGCATATATTGTCCAGTTAGGAGTTTTATTCCTTCAGTTCATTTAGGAGTCTTTCCACTGTAATTCTATTTAAGCAACTTTCTGCCTTCATTAATAAATCATCATCTTTCAACTTATACTCAGTCTTTATACTTCTGATAGTTCCAACCTTTATTTGCCTAATCATTGGTCTATAAACCCCCTAGTTATTCAAATACATTGCCTCTTCTTCAGTTTTATATTTCATCTGACCATGTCATGTGGTGGCTCCACGTGCTCCTACTGCATTCAATTTCTCTATTCAGCAAGTCAAAAGATGCTTAGCCATCAAGTCCATTTGTGTTAAGATATTGTTCATATCTTGAACTCGATGTTCTTTTCGTTTACGCTGCTCAACATATAAACAAACTGCATAATTTTTCTAAAAGACATCAAATTTTTGAGTATGCCAAGCCCTGTTAGTTTTTTATAACCCTATCTAGTGTAATTGTTGCATCAGTATATGTCTGCGTCATAAGAAACCCTCCAAGACTATGCCAACTATGGGCTTGGTCATACTTTTCTAAGACATGTAGAAAATCTCCATCAAATGATCATCAGATAGCTTATGTTATGGGCACTACTTCACCTTCTTATCAAATCTTAGTCATGCCTCACACGATACCTTACTAGGAAGTTGCCTTGAATAGGTTATATCATGCCTCAGTTGCAACATACTTTAGCGTGGGAAGAAGCTGTCCAAAAATGTGTCCTTTAACTATCCCTAGTTGGTTATCAAATCATGTGGTAACGCATTCAACCACATTGTTGCTTTTCCAGAATGTGATAATGGAAACAACCTCAAAAGGATGCCAGTTCTAACCTTGGGTGTCTTGAAAGACTTACAATTATGCATAAAGTTCATCACATGCAAGTTTAGATTGTGTAAATAAGCTGTCACGCCCAGAGCCTACACCCTAAACGTGGCTGGCACTTGAGAACCATCGCTGCTTCCCAAGCGAACCCTTGGCCTAACTTATTACTTAGCGACAGACTTACTCAATCAAAATAGGAACTTTAAATGTAAAGATTAACTCATAAAGTCTCAACAATAATTCAACTCAGTATAAGTCTAAGAAAATATTCAAATAGCCATAAGAAGGCAACTCCAATCTCAAACAATAATAAGAAATGGGAAAAAACTCATCAACGACTACTGTCAATGAAATCTCTAATAACTATGATAGATATCGGGACAAGACCCACAATAGTTTCACAAAATTGGAATAAAATATATGTGGAACCCTCCCGAAGCAAGGAGGCTCACCAAATCTAGATGGAACGCAAGTGATATCAACCGAGTGCATGTTGATGAACCTGAACATATGTATCTTCATCATAAAAAAATGCAGGTCGAATGACATCAGTACATTGAATGTACGAGTATGTAAGGGGAAAGTTGAAACATAAGCAACTGAACTGATACTCTGGGAAGTCATATTCACCTCATCTCAACTCAACTCAATATGAAAACAACAATAAGAGATGCAATATTTAGAACATTATAAAGCACGAGATATACTCAATGATGTATAAAAATACAATAAAATTACTCTTTACTCTTAATTGGGAGATTCTCTAACCGACAACCATCAGTATGAGCAACGTGATGATACAATGTCTCGTCCACGCTGCCAAAACTATCTTATACCTTGTTGGGGGTATAAGACACCTCAACTAATTGGATCCACTAAATTATGCTTAAAAGTAATAAGGAATTATCTTAAAAAGTATGATCCTTTACCATGTTGGCATACATGGTTATGAGGATTTTGAGTTGTCTGAACTTATCCCCATATCGGTGCTCAATACTACACCCAATAATATATATAACTTATGCTCATATATTTAGAAACATAACTCTTCCTCAATTTGAGATAATTACTCAAATTATCCTCTTAAAAGAGGTAACTGCTCTGAAATATCTTTTGAACTCATAAAATCTTTTTAGAAATCAAAGTTTCTCTTTTCTCAGTGTATAAAATGATACATTTGGGAACACTTAGTTCCCTTAAACTTTTACTCAAAACTGCCTCTTTAAAACATTTCCTCAAAACTCAGTTAAAACACAATAATCAACTTTCAAAGGTTCGCAAGACTTTATAACTCAAAATAGGGTTCATTTTAAGGCTGAAATTTTCATTTGAAAGGCTGAAATATAGACTTACCATCATTGTTTTCTCCTTTTGTTTGATATTAACAATATTTTAAGTAACTTTTACCGGTAATTAATATTAATTTATACAATGATAGTCTCTCACAAGAGGTCTTTGAAGTATAGATGTAAGTATGATACGATTATATGTTGTACTTCAAAAGAAAGCTTTGGAAAACAACATATTTGAGGATCTCCAATTTTGGGTGGCCCTGGTTGGGGTTGGGGATTGTTGAAGATCTGAAAAGATTTGTGAGTAATTCAACATAATAACTAGGTTGTATATAGCATGAAATTATTCTGATTAATTTGTGATGAATAGAATTCTTTTTTCCCCTTGTAGCTTTAAAAATAATATGACGTGATTTGTGAATAATCAACCAAAATAAGTACGTTGAATATAATATGAAGTTATACGATTCTGCATGACTTACATGTCATAATTCATTAGTTTTGATGTGATGTCTTAAAAAAAATTCATTCAATTAACTCAAAATTATTTTCACAAATAATTTGACTAATCATCAAATTTTAACCTATTCAACTTCTGTTTACTTTATATACCAGAGGAATGTGAGAGAAAATATAGGAAAGTAAATACATACCTAATCAAAGAAAAAGACCGCTATATTCACAAGTTGTCTTACCATATCCAAAAGGGAATCTTTTTCAATATTTTACTTAATAGAGTTGTTTTCCATATCCCAAATTAACCTTATTACTTAATTAATCGGGTCAATTTGAGATACAACAGATAACTTTTTTAAGTAAAATATTGAAAAAGAATCTTTTTTAGATACGGTAAGACAACTTTATGAAAATATTAATAGTCTTTTTCTTTAATTAGATATGTCATATGTATTTACTTTCCTATACTTTCTCGCACATTATTCTTGTATATAAAGTGAACAGGAAATGATTTGGTCAAAGTCTAGTGAGAGATAAAATTATTTTAATTTGGTTTACGTTGAAATGGAACGTGAGTCGATAGAAAAAGAAACATTCAAATCCAACTAGGTTTAGAGAAAAGAACGCAAACTATGTAACCTAATACATGTATTAGTCAATTTGGTAAGTTGCAATATATGGAGTATTTCTTTTCCAATTTGGGTGGCTTCTCATAGGAAAACTTTCGCAGATTTTTCACCGACCCCCAATAGATTTTAATTCTATTCCTACTAGTACAAATTAGGAAATAGTAATCGTAACTTAACTAGACACCTTCTATTACCAAAAGTACAAAATTTCCCCTAAAAACCTACATATACATATTGCTTTTGTTTTTCTTATTTGTTTGTAGCATTGTAATTTTTTGCATATCAATATGATGAAGAGAATAGGGAAAAGAGTCTAAAAAATACTCCAACTTTGGCCGAAATTGTTGTTACGATACAAAATTTTATGGAGGACCTTTTTACCCCCCCCCCCTCACACTATTTAATAGCGTATTTTAAAGGTATATATGTGCCCACGTGGACACGTTACTAGTTATAATTATAAAATATTTATGACGTCCACGTGGGCACATAAATATCTTTAAAATACACTATTATATAGTGCAGAGGGGTAAAGGGTCATTTCCAAAGTTCGATATTGGTACAACAATTTCGGTCAAAGTTCGGATATATTTCAGACCTTTTTCCCAAAAAAATATATCGTAAAATATCAATCAAAGTTATTATAGTTTGACTCTAAAAATGGAAAGTATGACAATTAATAGGGGATGGAGGTAGTAATACTTAAAATTTTGCAGTCAAAATTATTTTCTCATTTATTTTTTGAAAAATAATTTGATTAATCACTAAACTTTAGCCAAATCAACTTCTCTTCACTTTATATACCAAAGGAATGTGGGAGAAAATATAAGAAAGTAAATCCATACATAATTAAACAAAAAGACCACTAATATTTTCACAAGATTGTCTTACCAAATCTAAAAAGGGCTCTCATTTAATATTTTACTTAATAAAGTTGTATACCATATTCCAAATAAACCCGATTTATTAAGTATTTGGATGGTTTTACCTGGGTAGGTTCCAAAAAAAATAGAACGCATCCCACTAAGCGTTACGTAGACGATCTAACCAAGCTGTCAGTAAACTTGGGAAGTTACAATTACTCTATTTTTCTATATTATATATCTTTCCCAATTTGGAACACTTACATACCAAACTTTTAGCAGATTTTTGACCAAACCTCCCAAGAGAATTCGATTCTCTTTTCCAATTGTAATTAGGAATACTAATTATAATTTAAATAGGCAACTTGTATTACCGAAGATATAAAATTCCCCCAAAACACCTATATATACGTACTCATTCTTCTCAGGACTCTACATCGAATCAGGCTATGGCAGAAGAAGATCAAAGCAGGAAGAAAGCAAACAATCCCAAGCCTTATCAAGGGAGGAAAGAATGCATGAAGAGGAAATCAACGGAGTTTAAAACTCTCTACGATATCAAGATTTGTACTGTTATTACTGGTCCTAATGGGGAACTCCAAACTTGGCCTGACAATTTGAATGCCAGTAAATAAATTCTTGATCTCTACTCTCAAAATCTGAAACCTAAAAAAGTAGCATAAGGAATCATCAACACCAGTACCAGAACCAGAAGAAGAAGAAGTGGAGAAAGATCTCCTGATGCTAGTTGAATCAAAGCCTGCTGCTGTCAACCGGAGAATTCATTTCTTGGAGAACAAGAATGTTGATGTTGCTGATAAGGGGAAAAGAAAGAGAATTGAGTGATTTATTTGTATGTAGTTTTTTCTTTTCGGTATATTTTCTGAATGTTTTAATGTATTGGGATCGTGTGTTTTTTTCTTATTTGTTCGAGGATTTACAGTAGATTTATCTTTGATCTGCAGATCCTTTTTCCTTTGTAGTGTTTGTCTTATCAGCAGTTGGTCCAATATGAATACAACCCATATTTTACCCTTTTTATTCGTATGTATGTATTGAATTGAATGGTGGATTAATCCCTCTAGTAGAATGGAAAACCCATATGATTTTAATTAAAATGCAATACTTACATGAAAAATTAATGTCAGATATTAGGTAGGGTAGGGTTAGGGTTTGCTAGGCCTGGGTGCCATGTACCATAAGACAATAACTTCATAGAAAGTTAAAAATTAACAAGAATGTTTTTATTGCACTAAGAAGAAACAAGGAATGAGCAAAAAGGAGCTCCTCCATCAATGCTTACATTATTACATGGTTCATGAAGATGAAATTAGAGGGTAATCAGAAGCGAATGTTTTTATTGCACTAAGAAGAAACAAGGAATGAGAAGAAAGGAGCTCCTCCATCAATGCTTACATTATTACATGGTTCATGAAGATGAAATTAGAGAGGAATCAGAAGCTGGAAAATGTCACAAAGGGAAACTGATGAATTTAATCATTCCGAACATACAAAGACATGAGATATCATGCTGGATTTAACTAACTCAGGTGAGTCAACTGCGACAAACGCTTTTCTTTAGCATTGACCACTAGGTGCACATAAAAGCTTAACAAATCTTGATGTAAAAGACACATGTTGTAACAAGAACTAGAATTAATTTATACAGAAGTAGAACAAATCCGTTGGAGGTGAGCACATGGGAAGTAAGACCTCTTATTGATATCGCAAAATGGAAATCGTGAACTTTGTCAAACCATGGCAAAGTCAACTGAGGGACCGTCAGTAAGACATGATTAAAGGTATAGCTACAGTTACGGTCAAATGTGGAGTTGTCCTGAAATAGCACACGCTCAACCTCTTTTTGTTTCAGACTGAGGTTTGCGAATTGTTGATCGAGATCCCTACTAGTGTTGCGACGATGGCTGTAATATGGCTTCTATTGCTGTGGCTGTTGATGTTGTTGCTGACACAATGCTCGTAATCTTCCTCTTTCTCTTTCCAGAATTTCATGGTCCACTGCATAATACAAATTTATTAGTTGTAGATTTTGATGAAACAAATGAAATACTGGTTGTATATACGTTCAACTTCTCCAAAACACCACCTATCCGACAAAACAGAACAGTTCCCATGTTCAAAATAGTTAAATTCAACTAAGGCAGTTTACTCTAGGTCTTTGAATCAAGGAAAGAAAGTGAGACTTGGGAAATAGATCCATTATTTAGAAATTTTGTAGTTGCAAATTCGACCACATTGTTTCTCTTTCTTTATTTGCCTAAGTAACTTTCCGTTTTACCAAAAATGTGCAAAAGAGATATGCGATAAAAATCAGCTACACAACAATATCATGCTCCAAAAGAGTCATCCAATCATTCATATTAATCTGTATGTATGCTACAATTGCTCCAGAGGTAAGTAAGAATAGCTTCCATCCCTTGAGTTAATTTTGAAAGGTAAGCAAATTTGAAGGCTTGAAGCAAAAAATATGGACCTGTTCACAATAAGGTCATCCAAATGCAGTGGAAAAGAGTACTACTACTTCGACTATCTTACACCTGCCACAAACACCTTCCTTATTTCATCGGGTACTTGCTACCTCCCACCAGCTTAAGTACCGAAGAAATCACCTAGCACTTTGTCAGTACTGGAATTTTCACCCTGGTTTTCATTCACCGCTAGGCCACAATACTTGGCTACAACAAGATCATTCCATCTTCTTACTAAGAATTGATGTATTTGGGATGACCAGTAATTGTCCCCATTTTCCCTAGAAACAGCTATTTTGTTAATCAAATTGAACATTACTCAAAAACTTTTGTTTCAGTTCCAGGAAAACCGTGTCCACTTTCCCAGCTTACTTGCAGTTGTTTTATTCACCATGAAAAAATCAATTATATAATCCTTATTTCAGATAAATCTAATTCCTAGCTATGTAAGATTTGGACTCACAAGACCTGCTGTATAATCAACTTTATCAAGATAGTCCAAGACTACAAGCACTAAGAACAATTGTAATAATTCATTATAACTGATATAGAAACTTACAATACTTTATGAGATAAAATTTCTAAGTACTGCTTTAGGGCTTTATTGTAGGGTAAGATTTTGTTGGTTAAGGAATTCAAGCTCGGCAGACACTTCAGCCTGAAATCACAAAAACTAGTCAAATTAACAACTTACCAAAATGCAACATCCATTTCATGTCCAGGTACTAGTGTATGTATTTCAAAGGTTCAACTGATACATGCCTGCAAAGTTTGTACATTTCTTTCCAATTTAGCTATATATTGAAGCTTTCTGACTCGTCATCGCTGAGCAAATTGCCTGTATATTATGATTCCACCAAGTTTCAAACCATACGCCACAGCTCTCAGTTATCCAAAGTTTCTTTTAAGAAAAGGGTGGGTGGTATGGAGGGGTTTCAGAGTGCTTTGAACTTACTGTTTCACACGTTTTGTATCAGTTTCTGATGAAGAACTCTTACTCTGAGAGGAATTATTTTTTTCCAGCAAACCCTTTTGGTTAAGGAGGACCAGATTCTGCTACATCTTTCTTGTCACTTCCTGCAGATCTAGGCCTGTCTCCGTCTTGTGGGAGGCATGGTTATCCAGACCTCTAAATACATAGATCTTTCCATATTTTTGTGTCGGATTGAGGAGTTTTGATCGACAAAAGAAGCAGCTTGTTGAGCCTCTCTGTAATAATCAAAGTCTTGCGCTTTGGGGCGCACTGCAGGCGCAGGGCACCAGCCCCTCCGGCGCTATGGTGGCGCGCTGCCCCACCCCCAAACCCAGAAAACTCGACTAATTTTCTCGCTCAATTTCAAGTCCTAACTCATCAAATATAGAATGATTTCTTTCACACTCTTTTTGATTCATCAACCCAACACAAAATCAATGAAATCTCACTCAAATTCTATCAAGAAACACCAATCATATGCAAAAGCCTCACCTCAGGAACTCTAAAACCTCCATTGTTAAAGAATGGGGTTAACACTCAAGAACTCTTCAAGAATCTTTACATAAATGATTTCATAAATGAATTACTGAAAGAATCACATGTTTGACATGAGAATGAAAATTCCAACACTATGGCAAACCACACATACCTAGAAAGAACGATCGTTGTTGGAGAAATCCACTAGCCTTGAAGAACGCTTGAACTTAGCCATTTTTCTCCTCTGGAAACCTCGCTCTAAAGCCCTAAGTGTTTTGGAATGTGAAAAATAATCTTAGAGTCTGATTAGACCCTTAACTGGGTGAGGAAAAACTTGGGTAGGTCTATTGGGGTAAGGAAAAGACTAAAATACCCTTTGCTAGAATGACTGGGTGAGGAAAAACTTGGGTAGGTCTATTGGGGTAAGGAAAAGACCAAAATACCCTTTGCTAGAATGACAGAAATCCTTAACTAGAGAGGCTGCACTCAAATGGGCATAACTCCTTCATCTAAGCTCAGAATTGAGAAAAATTGGCGGCGTTGGAAGGAAGACTCAAAGACTTTCAATTTGATAGTTCATGGGCCACATAACTCCTTTTGTCCAAAAATATATGGTCGTTTGAAGTTGACCCAAAACTTAAGAGAACTGATGGGTTACTTGAATGAATATCTCTTTAATTCTTTTCTGAAACTCAAGGTGTTACATCTAGTGACCTTAACACCTAAGAAAATTTAAATCACTCAATATTTTAAATCACGCGGTGTTACAATATCTCCCCCTTGGGATCGTTCGTCCTCGAATGATGGTTGTACTGGGAATGGAAAGGGGTTTACTCTTACTACCTTTTCTGAATTCTGAACTTGCCTACTTACGTATTTTGAACTGATTCATATCAAGATTCGGGACTCTCTATAACACATAAGTCAAGAACGATGTTGTTTTGTACCAAGTAACTAACTACCTAAAGTTATCTTGTCTGTAACAAAGGAGGTCTAGGCATGAAGTAAGGGTTGGAATACTCTGCCCTGGGTAATATGACTGGTAGCTGTTAAGCTTAGCAATACTTCTTAACTATGCCCTTCTTTCCTTATTACCAAAACTCATTGGCTGCAAGTCATAACTCCCACAAAGGTACATGACTACTCTTACCAAAGGATGAGCCTAACAGTATGTTCTTACTTTATTCAAGCCTAACCCAATATCACAAGGTTAAGGTCCTACACCTTTGTAGGAAATCTCATCCCAAGAATATTACTCATTACCACCACATTCAACCAACCTTGGCTCATATTAAGAGCCACCGAATGCATCACACATTTGTCCATATATTAGCAACGCCACATTCAAGCTTAGTATATTAACCACTCTCTGGACTCCTTCTAACCAACTTCCTAGGAATTCCTCATCCTCTCCTCATCCCTACCATACCAACTGAAATTGCACGCATTACTACTCGGAACCAACTAATTAATCTCATTAAACTATTACTCATAGTAAAACTCCACTTTATTCCTCCTAAACATTTTAACTTTAGATGTTATAAGAATACCATCACTACCATAATAGGAAACATCAATAAGATATTGGAAAGACTGAACTTTGAGTAATACACAAGATTATGAATGGATTGAGATATCTCTATAACTCTTTCTAAACACATCACTATCTGATTCTCCACACTTGACTTGGTTTCTCATATTATCATCTCCCCCTTAGGTCAAAAGCTGACACTTTAAAACTATGGATTTATTCAATCTTCTCCAAACTAGTCAACATTCGATTTACTCTAATATTGAGGAAATTCTACTCTTATTGCTGCTAAACTCTCCACGTGTAGGCACTAAGATTCCTACTAAGGCTTCTCTAACATCTTGCCTTAGAAAGAGTTAAATTTAGAAAGCGCTAA